ATATTAAAATATTGAAGGGTACTCTTCGGAAATGTGTACCATATATCTTGAAATGCCCCCCTCCAATCAGGGAATACGTGTATATGAGAATATTGGAGGGCACACTCGGGAAATGTGTACCTCTATTGAATCGCCCCCTCCAATAACTGTCGGTGTACATAAGAATATTAGTGGGCACTCCGGAAATTTGTATCTTATATATTGAATCCTCCCCCCGGATAATTTGGTGATAATATCACCCATGATCGAATTTATTGGTCGGCGATGGATAACCGCAACACGTCTGATATTTTGCGGACCGGAATTATCACTCAGGCGAGACACCGAATCCCGAGTCCAGGGGGGCTCTTGATTAAGGAAGGGATTTTTTTTTTATTGGAGATGTTATTTTTAAAATCTAAAAGAAAAAACTTTGAAATACACGACAATTACACATTCAGTTTAATTCTTCACTTTTCCAGAGTTATAGATAGCAATCGAAAATAACAAAACAGCGCTTCAAGAAGACATCGAAATATTTTTCGTTCGATTGAAGTGTATAAAGCTTATATACACGTATTAAAATATAAAAATTTTATGAAGAAAGTGTTCAACTGTAATTAGAAAAAAAAGTGTTTTAGGTGTGAAGAAACAATAAAGAGAGGGAGATGGCATTATCGCATGTTGCTCTCCCCCTCCCTTGTAATGTCTCTAACTATGGTCCTGACTACGAGTATGTCCAATCGTTTCAGAATCTGAGAAAATTAAAATGATGTTTGTATCGTATTCTGAACTAATTACGTTTTAATCTTATGAAGACTCATTTTACTGTTACTAATTAGATGTTGAATCGTAATCTACAATGAAATGATGACTGTTACAAAAGTACTCCCCAGGAGAAAGATACGGAAATAATGACAGTCAAAATTTTCCTTCACTCGATACTTCCTCATGAGACCGACTTCCTCTCTGCTTCTGCTTTTAGTTCACCAATCACTCAGTTCTGAGGAGCTCGGTCGTGCTTCAACAGACTCCCTAGTATTCCATTTGTTTCAGTAATTAAATATTATTGAAGTCCTTGATGCCGAACTACACAGCTTACACATTCAGGCTTGAAAGAGTCTCAGCGTAGCGCTGATTCCCGGCTCAAAATCTTAAGAAAATTATTAAAATGCAGAAATGTTACTTCTATTCTTACCATCCTAATATTGCTAATTAGATTAGTTCAGTTACAAAACTGTAGAAACGGTCCTTTCGTCTACCTATCCTTGTATTACTTATAAAATAACTTCAGTTTAACTTCAGTTAAAATTTAAATACAGTGATAAATCATTTGTATGTTTCACAAATGAGTCGTTAAATACGAGAATTCAATAATAATTCGTTAAATATACGTATATTGCATTCAGGGACCTAACAATATTTTCAAAGACATAATTTTTTTTCTGTCTATTTGGTAATTTCAAACTAAAAACAGAGTTGTAGAGACATTTCTCTTGGTGAAAGCTGGGTATCTCCAACTCATGACTACATCCTTGTTTTGATGGAATAATGATAACATAAACATAATTCAATTGAAATTGTCTGTACCTTTAATTTCTTTTGCTGTGAGTAAAAATCGAAAAGCAATATTTGCTGATGATGTTGAATTCCTGCGCTCTTTGAGTGAAATGTAGCGACGTGTGACATCTTTTCCCTCTTGCTCAACAAACGACACCACAAGGTAACTTGCTCCGCTTTCCACTCCCACTCATCAACTGACTAAGCCACCTATTGTGTTCGTAATGGCTCTGACGGAATAGAAATTCATATTTAAAAAGCAGAAATCGTGCCCTCTAGAATATTTAGGGAAGTTTAACCTAAATTGGTAGTTAAAAAATATTTCGCTAGCTAATGTTAGCTAAATATTTCTCATTAACGCCTTATCAATTCTTATACTCTGAGTAAATATGATGCATGAAAATTAGTTTACTCCACAAGGATGTTTTGTTCGTAAGCTCTTACGTCGACAGTGTTATCTTCACCAGAATGCAGCAGAACTCTTGTGGCTTCGAGAGCAATAATGCATCGGTGAATGACTGTTGAATGGGATTCGCGATAAGAACAAAACGTGCACGGCCTCGTGACATCCATGACGTACAAAATTGCAGTTTGGATGCATCAGTGAAAGATGAAAAGAAAAAGATCAGCAAAATTCGAAGCCTAATGCTTTGTTTCAATCCAGAAAGAGTTGAAATGCAATTGTGGTTGCATTGCATCGATCTCTCAAATTCGGGAAAAGCAACTTACGCGAATCAATAACACACTCATGAAAAGGTAATGAAAGATAATATTATTTTTCTGGATCTATTATACACATGGAATTACTCGTACGTTCATTTTGTCTGATAACACTGGAACTTTATGACAGTTACAATTATTTTCGCTTATTTGAAATAGATTTGGTCCCCATTACTTCCTAAATGTTTGGCGTTCACGGACACTTATTTTTTGGAATTTCTGATGAGTTGGTCAATAACTAAACAACCTTGGCTTGTCGACACGTTCGGGGGAACAAAGTTCAGAAACGTTGTGATGTTTCTGAACTTTATTGCTCTCTCGAAAACACAAACATTTTTACATTTCTACACTGATTAACATATTACATTAAACTCTTGAAAACATGTTCTAGAAAGAGCAAAAAATTCTTCAAATTTTTGGATTGGATTAATATTGTTATGCCCTGGGTGCGAATTGGCTATTTTTTCAGAGGGGGAAATTAGAATTCCATGAAGGGAGGACTAGTAGAATTAATGAGTGAAGACCATCTTAGTTTACACATCAATGAATGATTATAAGAATATTCTCAGGTCCAATTTCCTTAATTTGGACTTTCAAAGTGAGATAATCGTAAATGAGGCTTCAAAAGTATGTATTAGTATTTCTGGCAAAGAGAAACTAATTCTTTTCCAGCAGGTGACATCAGACTCTCTATAGGGGACACGTCCCCCAGCATTTCCTGTCTATTCGCACAATGAGCATTTCCAACTTTCGAGAACATCCCGTGCGATTGCATTTTAGAAGCATCTAGAGCCATGTGCTACCACCGCCTAGTTTCTAGACAACCTCTGCACAACATACACCATATCTCTCCATCTTGATTTAAAAAATGCTTAGCGTTGTACACTGTTTTCCACTGCATGTTTTCTTCTCCCATACCCATTCCTTATATGGGATCGAAGTGTTCTGAAACACTTTTCATTTTCACCTTATAGTGTAAATGTACACTCCAGAGCGAAACGCCTTCTGTCGCGAAAAGACACACAAAACAGGTATTTTAGATTGGAATAAAGGTGACTTATACGCTACTTGTTACCACAACAACAACAACAACAACAACAACAACAACAACAAGTCTATGTACATTAGTACGAATCAGTAATGTGTCATGCATGACGATGTTCGAAACAAATCAAAATACAATCGAGGATTCTGTTTTGTTTTGTTAACGGTTATAAAAAATCAAACCGTTTACTTAGGTCGAATATTTAATAAGTGATGGAACTTGGCTCCCCTCCACTTCTCCGCGTCCAGGGCACCAAAAGCAGAGGCGCATCCAAAGAGGGGAAGGGAGCTCATGACGCTTCAGCCCCCAGAGAAGCACACGACACGTATTCACAAATACAGTTTTTACTCATTTTCTATAGTAATGAAAAGCATTAAAATCTTAAATGAATACGTCAAAAACAAATATAAATCAACATATATAAATACATTTTAAATCCAGCATAAATGATTTTTTTATAAGAAAACATTCAATCGACTACGGCCCCCTACTAGAAACATCACGATTGTAGCACTGATGGAAACAAAATGATTTGGAAACGGCCACGTAGACTTTTCGGTGGAGGGGAAAATAACATGCCTTGGTCGTCCCAAGCGAATGCTCTCTGAAGCTACGTGGCCGGTATCTCCAGGGAGCAGATAACGACCCTCCAGGAGCTGCTATCGCGTATGCCGTGCGCCCCGCCCCACTGCGTCGCCGGCCCTCTCCAGCGGGAGGCCACGAGGTGGGCGGGGCCTTTGGCACGGGCGCCTGCAGGCGTGCCTGCCTGCCTGCCTGCCTGCCTCCTGCCTGAGAGCGTTTGATTGATTGGTATTTTTGGGCACGTCAATTACTACGGTCATTAGTCCTAAGTCATTGAGTACTGAACATCAACTACCACGGTTATTGAATACTGGATATTTATCTTGGGAAGGGGCATTATTTCTCCCACACTGAATAGTGAGATAAGACGCCAACCTACACGTTGATTTACCGCTTCAGTGGCGAATCCAAGGAGGGGCCATAGGGCAATGACCCCACCCCCAATGCCTAGTTTTCGTTTGTTTTATTTTGCAAAATTGATTTAAATATTTATTCATTTATTTACATTAGAATTATGTAATCATTAAAAGTAATGATGTATCATATATGTACTAAAAAATTATTTAACAAAAATCTATGATGCCCCCTCCCCCTCCAAAATGATCGGCTCGTTCCACCCCTGCTTCAGGTACCTCCCCCAGCGGGATATCATCCAAGCCGAAACGAACTCTTAAGCTTTCGGCTGGGCTCCCGACATGTGTGGAAGTATATTGCATGCAAGTGTATTTAAGGGAGTGGGGATAGGACAAGGAAGAGAAAGGAAAGATGGCGCGCGCGGTCCGTGGCCCGTTTGTTACGGTACTGCTCCGGCATTTGCCAGGTGGTGATAGAAGAAACCACGGGAAACTACCGATCAACTCAGTCGACCGCTAGAATTCTCCTGCAAACTGCGGCTGAATTCGGCCTAGCGGTCTGGCTTGTGTCGAAAATCTCCCTCGTCGGGAGTGGAACCTAAAGACCTCCCGGTCGGAGACACTGCAGTGACATCAACCGGCGCCCTAAGCCGATTCGCCCTCTGGAGCGGGAGGGGCCGCGTGGGAGCCTGCGTGCGCGCGTGCGTGCCGTGGGAGTTTGGTGGGAGCGGCGAGAGGTTGGCTGCCGTGCGCAGCTCACGTGTACCGCTGCAAGCGCTGCGTGAGTCGAAGAGGGGCGGCGCGGAGGACGGAAAGTTTGGATCGCGACCGAGGGCTTCTGGCGTTTGGACACCGGGGGCGAGTTGACGCGAGTGCGCAAAGTGGCTGAACGCTTTGACGAACGGGAAGGCGAAAGGTAAGAGACAGCGTCGATGTGGCGCGTCTGCAGACAGGACTCGTCTGCAGGATTGACGAAACGAGGTCACTCATCAGCGCTGCACGCTAAGTTTCGAGGAGCCGTTCGTAGGAGGCGTAGCATACGAAACAGACAGAGGGCGTTTTGTCGTGGAGGCAGAAATAAGAATTTGTATCTCGAAGGGGCTCAATGGGAACAACATCTTAAGTCATTTCTACTTCTATGCCGCGAGTTCATTCTTGGGAAAGTTGTTTGTTTACTCCCACTTATTAATATTCATAATCTTCAATAAGCTTTGCATTTTTTGTTCATAAAAATGAATTTATTAATCAACATTTATTCATGTATAAGTCGGTGTAGGAAAAATGGATGTCATGCTTTCTTATGAATAAACATTGATTTTAAAGCATAATTACTGTAAGCTATGTCCCTTTTTTCGCATAAGCCTCAACTATTGTTGAATTTATTATTGGATTTGTAAATAATATCACTACTTTTCTATTTACACAAATTTAATTTCAACATGCTGTTTGCCTTTTTAAGAGTTACCCCTCATTTACTCTTTCTATCTCATCAAATTATGAGCATTTCTATAACAATTAAAAAAAGGTTAGTCATAACATTAAAATGACTCATTTTTCTATTACAGAATTAAAATGGAGGAAAGTGATACAAGTACCCATAAAGTGTCCGATTCAGGATACTCCAACAGCTGCAATAGCCAGTCTCAACGCAGGTGAAAATATGCCTTGAATTTTTTGCATTATTTTAGGTGCAATAAATGTTTAATTCAAATGTATAATTCTCTTTCTCTCTACTCATTTCTAGCAGTGGGAGTTCTAAATCTCACCACAGCAATTCAAGTGGTAGCAGTGGCTATGGAGGTCACCCTTCTACTGTAGGGAGCGGGTATGTGTTCAGCAAAGAAACAAAGCCCCATTTGATTGTTTTCCAATGCTTTTGCTGTGAAAGTTGTCTCTTCAGAAAACTTTTATTTGAAAAAATTATGTCATTAATTGCTGCACCAGAGAGCAATTATTAACAATCTGTTTAATTATTAAACATGAAAAAAAAGAATACCTCAAACACATTTGTAATTTCTGCACAAAAAAAAAAAAATAAAATAAACATGCAAAATTGTGAAATTGCTTTGCTTACCAAGTCGGTACATGGGTGACAGCAGGTACAATGAAACTATGGCTTGCCATGTCTTCAAGATGCAATCGCTCCATCGGCAGAAATGTTGAACACCGACTTGGTAAGTGCCATCTTCAGCATTGGTCAGTGACCATAATTGGCAACAGGTATTGTTTCAAAGATTAACTTTATTGACAGCACTTCACTTTCACCCTATTTCTTTTAAATTCCTCAGACTACTAACATTTCAAAGTTACATGAATTTATTGATTAACTTATTTGTTTTGAGTTGATTACTTTCAGCATTTAAATTTCTAGTAATGTTTTGCAGAAATCTCATCTTCAGTAGTTGAAAAATCTATTGTCCAGAAATTTCTTTTATAACACATGTTTTGTTAAGTTGTAAATTTTACAAAAGACTCTCTTACAAACAACATGGCAAAAGCAGGGTGCTTAATCAATTTGTGCAAACAGTTTTATGTTCTGTAATAAGAAGTTTAATATTGAAATGCTTCCCATCACTTTACTTCAGGACTGAAGTGTTCCCTCAACCACATGTGACAAAACGCAACAAAGACAAAGAGCACAAAAAAAAGAAAGCAAAATCCACACTGACAAGTGCTACTACAGACCACCACGTGGATTCCAAGAATGTGGCTGCTTCACCTGTCACTGAAACTACACTTTGCACCGAGGGAGTCAAGTCAGCAAACAAGACAGTCAGCAAAACTACTAGCAAATCTACTGCCAAAGTTGGTGTACAAAATTCTACATGTTCAGCTCCTGGGGTGAATACAGAAACAACAGAGGATGTGCAGCTTCCTCTGACATGTCTGAGTCAGTCATCCAACAAAGAACTTCCTCCAGGTAAAAAAATATGTTTCTCATACTATTAAAGCATCAAGTTTTTTCACGTTCATTTTGCTATCAAAACTAATGCCTAATGCTTTTCCATAGGACTTTCAGTCAAACTAGTCAAAATTTGAAATTTACATGTATTCAGAAAAATATATCAGATTAGTAAACAGATGGTATGATCATTTCGTGGTAACAATAGACTTTGCTCATTCAATTGAGTTGATATTACTTTATCAGAAAGACATTAATATTGATTGTCTACTCAAATTCAATGACTGTTGGTAATAAAATGAAGTGTGATTAAATAAAAAATATAATTTTATTACAGGAGCTTCTAATTCGATATTAATGAAAAATCAGTCATTTTAACTTGATTTTCATATTGATTAAAAAAATGTCAAAAATTGTTCTGAAAAAAAATATTTGTCCTGTTTACTTTTTTAGTTATCACTGAGGAAAATGAATGTGCTACAGGAGGTATAGCAGACCCTGAGGAGCAAGAAATAAATCAAAATTGTGTGCGCAATGACATCTCTCCAATTCAGATAGAGGTAAGACCTACAGACCTAGCATTTGCTTTTTCCCTATGTATTTTACTTAGAAGAATGAAGGTGATGAATTAGACTAGAGATTCAAATATTGATAAATCATATGGAGCCTCACGTTTTTGACTTCAAACCAGGTTCATTTGCTTGTATCCTTTCAATTAATACTAAGTGGAAATTTTATAAATTTTACTATTCAGTCATATTTAATTAGTTTGTTATTGAATTAAATATTAATATGGCGTACAATCTTGATTCTCTACAATTTATTCAAACTATTGCAGTTTTGGTTTTGTTTCTTTTGTTAATGTGACATGTACTGCAATTAGCTCTTCAATATGTGTAAAAATGGAAATGTAGCTGCAGTTACCATCTTCAAAGTACCTTGGAATCAGTACACTCACCTTACTTAATTGTAATTAATTACCTGTAATTTATGTGCAAAGAAAAAGGAAAATATTTTCCCAATAAGTGAAGCAGATTGTTTAAAAAATTAAAATTTTGTTTGATTTGAGCAGTGCATGTCCTTGGTTCTATTGACACAGGTAAGGGAAACAATTTTGCAATTCCAAAGAACTTTTAACTTTTCATGAAAATAACTGGGGTAAAAATCAATTCAGATTCTCAGATATAAAACCAATACCTCTAATTTGACAAAATTAAGCAATGTTTAATTACGTGAATTTTTAAAATTATTAGGTGCTATGTGAACAAAGAGAGTTTAGGAAACGTTATTAATGATATCCATTTCACATCATCTTTCCTTGCAACACATACGGGGCTAGAAGTTTCATAACAGGTGCATAATCACTGTTTGCTGTTCAAATGATTACACATCTTTATATATTTCCTTCTTTCCTTTGAATCCTGTTTTATCAACAATATTTCAAAGAATCTATCAGATAACAGTTTTCATAACTGCAATAGTTTGTCTCTTCATAATTCTTCTTCTTTGTTACTCAAATATTAATCCATGAGGTTAATGAGAGATGTCCATGATATGACCCTTCATGTCGTGGGCACCACGTGCCCCTGTCATGATAAGTTTCTCCCTGGCTTTGGCTGTGGCATTTTGCAGAATGAGTTCTCCGCAATAGTCTCATTGCATGATGGTGTTGTCATGTACACCACTACAAGCATCACTAGTGTACTGGGATTCCCTAAGGACATGTGGCTTGGAAGATCATTCATCGACTTCGTTCACCCCAAAGACAGAATGGCTTTTGCCAGCCACATTACCACGGGTGTTGCATTGCCGGTGGAGGAGAACCGGTGTAAAGGTCAGTGTATCGGTAGTTCACTTTTTTATTTTTTTTTATTTTCAATAATTGCATTTTCATTAATAAGTCATTTAAGTTCTACACAAAATGTGTTTTTTGGTTACCTGTAAGGTGATCCTACTCTTTAACTTATTTCACTTAAAATATAACATATATTAGGTAGTAGTATGAACATGAGCATGCTGAAATCATACCACAGTATCTAAGACTGTTTCTTGATCTTTTCAGTTTCACTTACAGCCAAAGAAAGTTTCTACTGTTGCTTACGTCAATACAGAGGATTGAAGTCATCTGGATATGGCGTTACTGAGAAAAAAGTAACTTATCTCCCTTTTCACCTGACCATGACTTTTCGTGATGTGACGAGCACAGAGAAAATGGGTCTTGCTGAAGAGGAACCTGGCATTCAGGGTTCTTTCCTCATCATTTTAGCATCACGAATCAAACCTGCTTACACCCGTAAGATTATCAAATTTTCCTATGGATGATATAAATTCTTGGAAATTAAAATTATTTTAGTAATATAAAAAATGCATGAAACTAAAAGCAGTTCTTGATATTTTCCATTTTACAAAGTATAATATTTTTATGTAAAATGAAATGCTTGTAGATTGTGTATCTATACATGTCTTCATTCTTTCAGATCCTGATGAAACTAAAATCTCTTCAAAGTTTATCATAAGACATCAAGCATCTTGTGAGCTCAGCCATGTTGATTCAGATATTGTCCAATATCTAGGATACATGCCTCAAGACATGATTGGGCGTTCAGTGTTTGAGTTTTATCATCCAGAAGATTCACCGTATCTCAAGGAAGTGTATGAAGGAGGTGAGATATATTCACATTTTACCAAACACTAGTGTACTATGATAATATGATTATGAATAAAATAATCAATTACATTCTCGAGAATCGCATTTGATTTATATCTCAGGTAATATTAAGAGAGAAAAATAAACTTAGTATATTATTTTAAAATTCCTTTAATATGTTGGAGTGAATTAATCAATTAATGTTTTGTGGTCTTACAGTGATAAAGGCTCAGGGTCAACCTTTTAGAAGCAAACCGTACCGATTTAAAGCTCAAAACGGAGGGTTTGTGCTTTTGGACACAGAATGGTCTGCATTCATTAATCCATGGTCAAGAAAATTGGAGTTTATTATTGGTCAAAACAGAGTATTGAAAGTAAGAGAATAATAGCAAATTATTTATTATAATATATAAGAATGTAATCCAATGTAAACATCTTTTAACAAAACTTTTTTATAGGGTCCTCCAAATCCAAATGTTTTTGTGACACAAACCTCTGAAGATTGTCTACAAATATCAGAAGAAGTTTTAAAGGAAAGTAAAGTAATTCAACATGAAATTGAGAATTTGCTTAAGGAGGTATGTTATTAATTGCTTTAAAGAGTTGTGCAAATAATATAATTTGTGGGATGAAAAAAAATTGATAATAGGGTAATAGGGCTGTTTTTAATGTAATATGAACTGATATAAAGAAGCACAGAAAGACACTGGTATTTGACGCAGTTAGTTTCTCAAAGTTAAATTACAGTCATCTAAAGTTGTAATCAAACACCTTTTCTTCAAATATGGGGACTTTCATTAAAAAACATTATGAACTTTCATGTGAAATCTCATCTAGATTTTACCCAATAATGCATGTCTATTAGTGAAGAACATCTTTTTACATTATTTATTTCATGATCCTTTCTGATAGACAATACAACGAACAACAGAAGCAGCTAAGCAAGTGGCATCTAAACGCTGTAAAGATTTGGCTACATTCATGGAGATTTTAATGGATGAGGTCACAAAGCCTGAACTGAAAGTAGATCTGCCATCAGAAGAACAAAGCTTCTCTGTAAGTGTTCCCTAAAAGTTTTCAAACTGCTATGTTATCTTTATTGCTACTTGTTTTTTCGGCGTTTCTAATCCTATGTGGTGGTGCTTAGAAGAACATTATTTTGCAGGAACGAGACTCTGTCATGTTGGGTGAAATTTCACCCCATCATGACTATTATGATAGTAAATCTTCATCTGAAACTCCTCCGAGCTATAATCAACTTAACTATAATGAAAACATCCAAAGGTAACAAATAAACAAATATTTGTGAACAGTTCAAATGATAGTCTGCTTCCTGAAAACGTTATGAATGTGACCAGGATTTGTTTTTTAACACTTTTTTATCCTTTGCTTTTAGATTCTTTGAAAGTAAACCCAAAACAACGCTTTCTGATGAATCTGGTGAATCGAAGACAGATGCCAATCGATCCCACAACAGCACTGATGAGGAGGGGAAGAGTATGCCTGTTGCAGATTCCAGTCTCAATTCAAGCAACAGGTTTGTGTCACATTCACACAAGAAAAGACACAGGATGATTAAAAAGATGGAATTAATTAATAATTTTAAAAAAAGGTTAGTGACATATTGCCGGATCAAATCAATGCGGTCCAATTCAAAAAAATGGTTGTGTTAAATCAAAGCTGAATTAATGTATTGCTGGGCATTTCTTTACCTAAAAAATGAAGGTGGTATAATTTTGATTGGCAAGTTTTATTCTGAAGCTCAGAAAGTACCATGAAGGCTCTAAAAGACACTCATTTTTATTTCTTGGTTCCCTAAAACAATTTACCATCAGAAAGATATACTCTTTGTCATCTACACATTTTCATAAACATATTTGTTTTAAAATCTCACAGGAAATGTTGTTCTCCTGTCAACGGAAGTGGGAGTGGCAGTGGTGGGAGCTCTGGCAGTGCTGGGATGCCGGGCAGCGCTGCAAGCCGTGGAGATACCAGCGCCACCAACACCTCTCATGGATCCTACAAACCACCACATCTTACTGAGGCTCTTCTTTGCAGGTTCATATCTTATTAAAATTGCAAAACAAAACTACCCATTTTGAAATACAATATTCTATTCAAACCATTATTTTCTATGCTAACCAAATAAAATAGTTTATCAGTAGTTTTATATCAATTGCCTTTCATTTGCATTAAGTTTGCATCCTTCATGTAGTTTTGCCTTTTGAATGCACAAAAGCCATTCTTTAATGAGGATATTACTAACAAATTCCTACTTTTATTTTTCAACTTTATTTTAATTTTTGAAAAATTAAATATTCAATCTCATATGTGCCTCAGTTTTTAATTTGTTTACTACAAATGAAAATAAATTACTGATTTACAGACATAATGAAGACATGGAGAAGCAAATGGTACAGAAACATCGAGAACTAAGATCAAAAGGGGACAGTAAGAAAAAGATGTCTCATGAGAAACTTCAGGTTGGATCAAATTTCTTAAAATGTGGTTGAAAATCTGGTGTACAAGCTATGTTTGTTTGAACTTGGCATTTCTGTTGTATTTGAATAGGAACAGAACCATGGTGTAAAGCGAAGTGGATCTCACTCATGGGAGGGCGAACCCTTCAAAGCAAGCAAGCATCCTCATGTCGAAAACCTGCTGGCTTCAGGGAATGCAGTCCCAATGCCCAATGTGGCTGCGCTCGGAGGTGCAACTCAGATGTCTCCGATGTACCCAGGATCTCCAAACGTTAACTTGTGGCCTCCTTTCTCAGTAACAGTCACCCCTCTTCAGTCCACCCAACCATGTCTAGCTCACAAGTAAGTTTCTCATTGTAGAGTTCTTCAACATCACTCAAGTGTTACTTTTTTAGGCCCAAGATATATTTCATTTCATATTTCTAAATCAATGCAATACTTCACTTTCTCTCAAAAGTGTTTTGTTCTTTACTTCAGTATTTACAGCCCTTTTTCTCTATTATTAGAAAAGAGCAAACAGTTTTTGATGTAATTTTTTTTTTTTCACAGTAGTTTTCCTGGAGGCACAATGGGAAATTCACAGTCTCATCATTTGGCCAGCATGATTCCTGTCTACTACATTCCCACTGGGTCACAGCAGGCCAGTTTGCCCCCTCGAGGCTTAGCACCTCAGGAGCACCCTGGGCCTCCTCCAACAGGCATGCTCCTGCCTGGGCAGCCACAGTACATCCCTTCTCAAGGTCAGTACTGGACTTAGTTTCAGGGTACATCTTGTAAGAGAACTAATCTTGACTGCTGTAAGATACTTGTACATTTACATTGATCTTCCTTCTTGTTATTTTTCTTCATATGGTACATTTTTGCAAAAAGGATGTAGAAAAATGTCTTTGTGGGAAATTCGCAATCTTATATATCATGTATATTAAAATTATAAAATGATGTTCAGCATTTTCGTGAGAAACTTAAGTAGCAATTGAATATTTTATTTATTTATATGAATATCATTTTAAGATACATTGTAGATTAATTTTCATGCAGTTTGTTTCCTTAGAGATGTAAAGGTTGATGGAAACATTATTTTATGAATCATATTCTGTTTCAGTTCCCATGATAAATCCATTACCCAGTATGTTATATCATCCAGTACAACCAATGTATGGGGCTCCTCCCATGATGTATTCATCAGTAATGCTCCAGCCATCAACTATCCTTCCAGCACCAATGTCTCAAGCTGGACTTTTGTCTGCTTCATCTCGCTCCATGATGAAGCAAGACAAACCACCAAACGAGGTATGTTATCTAAACCAGCTGTCAATATTTTTGTATTCTTCTGTGAACGTAAGATAAAAGTACACATCTTGGGACAAAATGCCACAGCTGTGGCTTCCATTTCTGTTCATAATAAACCTTCTTCTCCCACTGACATGCAAACTTATTTATTTGCCAGAATGGCACTCCAAATGGAGTGGGCCCCACGACGAAATTTCAAAGGCCCGCCTCTCAAGCCACGTCGGTCAAAGCGGAACCCGGCTCTGCAATGGGAAGCATTGCTTCTGCTTCCATTAAAAGGGTGTGTAATCCTTATCATGTTTTTTCAGTTTCCTAATATTCCTATATAGTTAATGCAAGACCTTAAAACTGAAAACTCACCTTTATAAATGAAATTCTCAGCTTTTGTGATCAAAACTAATATTCTAAACAGATTCTCATTAGCAATTTTTTTTAATTTATTTTTTTTATTTTTTTACCTTCTGCCACAAGCTTTTGTCCTTCTCCAACATGTTCCTATGCAAGCTTACAGGGGTGTACACTTTTCCTACAAAATACAAATTTTCTGTTGAAGACAAAAACAAAGTTTTGGGTTTTCAATAATGTGATTTCATTGCACTCTAAATAGTAATTGTAATATTTCTTTACATCATTATTGTCTGGGAAATCTTCTGGTTTTAGGCCATGTCTGAATGCTCTAAGAAGGACAAATCCTTGTGTTCTCCTGGAGCTCAAACTTCATCTCCCTGTCCTGAGGAAGACAAAACAAAAGAAGGGCATGGGAATTTGGATTTTGGACCTCTGAGAGAGATAGAAAATACAACTGGTGATGAGAGCAGTTACTCCTCTTTCTATTCTTTTCTTCGAACCGACAAATCTGATGAGAGTATGAAGAGCTCTCCAAGAGATAAGGATTTCCCATATCCTTGTAAACCAGAGGTGAGAGTATAATATCAAGTTCATTTATACTTTATCTTATGTGGTGAAACTTTTTAAATCCACCTTGCATAAGTATTGAACTAATTTTCTTATAGCACTTATTCAATAAGTGTGTAATAGCCCTGGCTGATACTTCCTTTATTTTACTTTAGGGTATGAACTGGGAAAATAGTGAACACAAGAAAGCAGTACCACAAGAGAAACCTCGTCCAATTCTTAAGGTCAGTATGATATAGAAATTGTATAAGAGAAAATAAAAAGATTAACTATTATTCATCACCTGCCCATGGCCTGTGGTATCATACTAAGTATTTAGTATGATACCACAGTTTCTGAGTGACAGAAGTCTTTAATGAGTCAACCTTCCAAAGTTCCTCGCCACAAACCAACCACAGCAGCTCTGAGTCCCCTCAGCCTGCTGTTCAATGAGAACTGGAACCATCCAGGACTACCACTTCAATCTTGTAATGAGAGAGGAACCTTACTTCTACAAACCAAGGGTTCTTTTGACAGAACACTCCCAAATTTACATAAGAATAACATGGGAATAACCCCCTTGGAAATTATAGTACTTTCATCTTCACTTTTTTCAAATCACATGGATGACAGAAAGTATACTTCATTGTCAAGAAGTATTTTCCTAAAAATATAAAAATAAATTGCAAAATCTTTTACAATACTTTACTGTGTAATCACAACAGATACATCTTTTACTTAAGATGTATAATGTCCATTAAAGCTTGATTAAGATATTTGGCCCAGAGTGGCAAATGTAATAAATTATATTGTACTTCATAACAAGCACTTCTGACACAATTAATGTTTAATTTAAAAGCTATGTTGCGTGGGTTTAAATATATTTAATTGAACAAGTACACTCAAGCCATTTTGTATCTATAGGGACACATTAAGCCTGCTCTGATATTTGTATTCCAACATGTATGTACAGGATCCCCCCTGGCTCGAACAAGTGAATGTGACTCCTGATCTTGTGTTCAGATATCAAATTAATGAAAAGAACTTAGAAAGTGTGTTGGAAAGGGACCTACAAACATTAAAGGAAATTCAACAGGTATGTTATGCAAATTTACTTTTCTAGTAAATTTTGTAAGAGGAAATTATTAAAAGCAAAACTCCAACTTTTTTTTTTTTAAGTATATGAAACATACAAGAACATTTCTTCAAATCATATAAATACACAATCTAATTACAATAAAATACTTTTTTTCTTCCAAAATTTTATCAAGTGAATTTCTAGAATCAATACCTTCTTTCTCTTATTTTTATATATTTTATTTTCAAACTTGGAAACATTCATAACAAAACTTTGCTCCTTTGGAGATGCTATGTGTTGAAATTAAAATTATTTGGAAAATTACATATGAATTGGGAAACTAAACATTACAGAATACAAGATGTGATAAAAAAAATACGGTGAATAATTTTATTACAAAATAATAAGCTTGCATAGAATGTAAATTAATCTCCTTCAAAGTACTATCCTAAGCTAGTGTGGCAACATTGAATCCATGACTGGAAGTATTTCTGGAGGACATCTTTCAGAAGGGCTTTCAGCTACTGTGTTGTGGCCCTCTCAATGTTAGAAAATCCTTCTTTTTGAGAACGTTTTCTTTTAGCACACTTTAGTTTTGGGAAGTGCCAGAAGTCACATTGTGCTAAATCTGGTGAGTAAGGCAGTTGCGGACAGTCAGTAACATATTTTTTAGCTCAAATCTTGTGAATCAAAAGCAACATGTGGCAATGCGCATTGTCTTGATGAAGAAGGAAACCATTGGCCCTTCTTCTGGTCTCTTTCTCTATACATCATTTTGCAAACTTTCCAATATCCCCTCGTAAAATTTGAAGTTAACAGTTGTTCCCCTTAGAATGAACTGTGATCGCACAAAGCCCTCACAATCAAAGCAATGAGTATGACCTTGATATTTTTTACAAGGGTAGTAACTGGTCTTGCATTGAAAACTGAATTTTCATCTCAGGGTTATAGACCTTAATTTCTTCCCTAGTTACAATTTTGGCCATAACGTCCAGATATGCATGAAGACGATCCTTCAATTCCACACAAAGTGAGACATGATTTTCCTTATATTTGTCAATCAAAAGCCTGGGAACAAATGTTATACTCGCTTGTCTAATTTGTAAATTATCAGTTTTAAATTCACCTGTTTGAACGAGCAAGTTTTGTCACATTTTGCAAGTTTTCATCTGTTTTTGAGATTGAACGACCATTACTTGTCTTCAGCTGACTCATTTCTGCTTTTAAATCTTTCATTCCACGTGTAAACAGTCTTCAGAGTTAAAGCACTATCGCCTTACACCGATTTTAATATTTCATGAGCTTCTTTGGCACTTTTGTTTTTGCAACTTAATACAAAACTTAATGTGTATACATTATTTGAAATCCCTGATGCAGGACAGGCAAGGGTCACCACAACCTCACTCTAGAAGTTCTGGTACCTGACTGACAAGTCAGAACAGTTTTCAAACTTGACACTGCCCGTCTCAACAGATTAGGCTATCAGAATATGTATTAGATCATGATGACACATTAGATGTAGCAGATGCAACAAGAGTTGCTTCTATACAAATTCAGAATCCCATTATTAGAATCAGATCAGAATTACATATTAGATAATGATAATATTTATATGTTTATATGCATCAGCAGTTGCTTCTATAAAAATGCATTCACCGTGATTTTTGTTTCACCTTGTATTTAGAATAATTAAATCATATGTAACAAATATTGATAAGAAAAGGCATAATTTGTTGTGCTACTTGGGTTGCAAATAAGCCTTTTTTTCTTTCTTTCTTTTATTTTTTTATGTACTGTTAAAATGCTTTATTAACTTTAAATGGCTTCTAAAAACTTAAGCATTAGTCATCATTCTTCTTTGTGAAAAAGGAGTGAAGGCATTATAATTATTTGTCACTACTGTATTCTCTCCAGCCTGTATTGGTGAATGATCAATTAAGTCAACTGTACCTGGACATGGAGTTGGAAGGTCTGTCCACAAAACTGAAGCTGGAAGAAGGAATTACATCAAGTAGTAGTGGCAGCAGTGTGAGTGGTGGAGAAGAAGTCCAGGGTGGTACTCAGGTGAATTATTTGTTAGTGGATTATTAATCAGGAATGGACTTTTCTTGAATCTTCATCTTGTAGAGCAACCATTGTGAACTATTTCTTCATTTATACATTCTTTTAGTGTATATAATGTGAAATATGTTAAGACATTTTTTGTAAAATTTTCAAATTTGCTCTGACACTGATGAAAGATCTCCATTTATTTCAGAACAAGAAAAAGCGACGTAGTTTAGAATATAGTAAATTTGTGATGATTTTTGAGGAAAATGCCCCACTTCCTCCTCCAGTATCACAATAGTGCTTGTAAACCCACAGCGACGGGGACTGTGATGAGTGTGAATGTAGGTCTGTGGGTTGTGTGAGTGTCATGTGTGGAATGCAAGGAAAACTGTATATAATTAAAACAGGTGAGCCAAATTTGCCTGTGCATTTATAAATTTTAGACTTCTATTAATAACGAGAAAAAATAACATCAGCGTCAAAAGATGTTTGTGGGAAGATATTTCCCATGGAGTATTTATTATATTTTTAATATTGCCTTTTTTATTAACGATAAAAGTGATTTGCCTAAGAGCATTTTTCAGAAAAAAATGATATGTAATAAATAAACCTGCTCTGAAAAGGACTTGAAATTTCCTTCAATACTGATATTCAGGAGAGATTTTCTACACCTTTCAGGCAAGTACAAATACTTAACCAATTGGAAATGTATACTTCAATGTGTACTACTAGTGTTACTACAATACTTGGCACATGAAAGTACTGGAAATTTTGTTTCACTGTTCAGTTTTCATATGGTTAAAAACTCAAAGGGCTTAAGAAACACAAAACTTAGTGGGCAACTTTGTATAAATCACAAGTTGTGATTTATTTTCTTTCACCTTGAAAGAAATATTATGCTTGCAGTGAAGTTCCACTACAAACATCATTCTAGTAAAATAAATACATATTGTAATGTTGTTTCTGTAGTCGATGATCTACAAAACATAGTTCCAAATTGCTTCTAGTCAAACTTTCTTGTCTTAAAGAAAGGAATCTTCAGTGTTCTTAAGTCTTATCATTAATATTATTTAAACACCTACTTCTGGTGGCATATAACATTGATTAAAACAGTAAGGTTTTTAAAAAATTTCACAATTTCATTTTCCTTCATATGCATCTTCCTCCAAAACAAATGAAATTTGGAAGGAAAATCAGAAGAGCCAATGTGAAAAATACTAATATAGAAGAAATTTTTATTCATGTTAACTACTACAGTATGTTCATATGCAAGTAATCATAACTTCTGAATTTGAATGGAAAAATATTAGTATTTTGCTGTGAAATAATATTTTTATATTGGAAATAAAATCTATTATCAACAATGCTTGATATATATATTTTTTTTCATGATAGGAAATATAAAATAACAAATCTGAAGAGTAAATATTATTATCACACACATTTGTTTCACAAACTATTAATACAACATTTGTATCAAAGCTATTATTTTCTTAAAAAAGAATCTGCACAGTTGTTATAGAATATGCAAATTAAATCTGCTAGTCTTGAATTAGATTAAGGTGTTGATGTTATCATGGAAACCATATGTCTAAGATGATTATCTTGTGCTTTGAGTTTGGACTTTTTAATGTTTCATAATGTTTCAGAAATGAAAAATCTATTTTAACATGATTGATTTCTTTAAAAATTCTTTTAAAACTATTTTCAAATGTTATATATTTATTGAGTGGATTTTTAAATCTTATCTTTTCTTTCCTCCCAAATTATATTATTATACAAAATGATTGATTAACACTTCTACAAAGCAAGAAAACTGTCACCCATGAAGGCAGTATGTGAAATAAAATGCGTATTTCTTGTTCTTATATTTTTTAAACACAACAGAGGATTTCACATTTACACTGAGATGACAATTATTCTTGCTTTTGTTGAACATTTTCTTTTTTATTTGTTTCATATTTATTTGAATATAGTAAGTTGTAATCAAAATAATATTTTTTCCATAATTTAAAAAAAATCATTACTTCTTCACATATTGCTTTCATATTTAATGGGTCAACCAGATCTTCACGAATGTCACCATTCTTGCTATATAAGTTTAGTAGATTTTTGTAACAATTGTGAACGAGGGGTGGTTTTGAGTTTTTTATCTTAATCTTTGACTATCTCTTGGAAGCATTAATATATAAACCAATGGTATCTTGCAACAGATAATATTCATTTATAAGCCCTTGCCAATTTGGATTTGAGAGAAAGCAGTAGTTTTACAAAAGTGGCACATAACTAAATTCAATAAATAAGGATATTCATACCAATTTTGCACAATATTGCAAAAAATTCAAATACTTATTTTGGTTGGAAGATTTCACACATATCTAGTTTTTACATATTAATTTCAGAGACATACAATTCTAGAATATTGTAATTATAATATTACTAAGACTTAAAAGAAACAAATTTCAAAAAAAATATTTTTTTTTTGCTTTCTTCTGATACATTTAGATAAAAATGTAGTAGACTTTTGTTAGAGATTAATGTTAAAACATATCTCCACACAAAGTAAAATATATAAATATATATTTCAGTGTCAGTATTTTATTTTTCGGGTAATATTTAGAAAACTGATTCAATATTCACATTGTATAATTATAAGCAGTTCATTGTGATGATGTTGATTTAAAAGAATTAGATTTATGATCCAAGAGACTTATTTTGATAACCATTTTGTCTTAAATTTTGACATTAAGACCTAAAATGAATTTAACAGCGGAATGATTTCACATTCTGATTGGCAATTGTAGAGAATAACTTCATATGGGCTGTGAATTAACCACTGTTCACCAGCTAGAAGTCTTTCATTAAATCAAGTCTATATGCATGGCCATTTTCATAACATTCACACGGAAAAGTGAATTTTAAAAAATAAAAAAGAAAGATAACAAACAAGTTATTTAAAAAAAATGCACGATTTGCTAAATTTAAGTCTAATTCTAAAGAAAAAAATTATTGATATTTATGAACAACTTTTAATCCAAATCTCTCCACATGTAACAATTTAAGAATAGTATAAAAGTGATCAAATTTAGGTACTTACGATTCATGAAACAAATATGATATTGGAGATTCATATATATTTCATGAGTCTAACAATGACCATTAATGCTAAAATTTAAACATCTTCTAAACAAAAATATGAGGTGGGGTATATTCAGAGATTGCATTCACAAGATTTTTCTAGAGAATTGTTTTTTTACTAATGTGTAAACATTTCTCATCCTGCAGTATTTGACAATGATGATGAAATTGACACAATTTTAAAAGTGGAATATTTCGTTTCTATTGCTCTAATATTTCAATTAAACTCTCACTCTATACTGCTATAAATTATGTTTAATCTCTCAATAATTTTCTGAGGTTTTTGCCAGACATCAACTCTAGAGACTGATTAGCAAAGTAAGTAAAAGAGACTGATAATTAATTTCCTCTTGATGTATTCAAATTTGATATTGATATTATAAAAATCATGATGTTAGTAGATTCAGTTTAATTTTCAATTATTTGTTTTTATTATATGAAATATAATATTATTTTGTATAATTTTGAAAACTTCAAATTAATGTGCAAATAAAATTTTTAATTATTTAAGAAATGCATGTATGAAGTGCTATTTTGCTAATTTATTGGTGTAAAAATCTGGAAAGAATGTTATTTATAATTATTGTAGTTTTTGTTTTTGATAGTTACATGTGTGCCTTTAATGTGTAACTAATAGTTTCAAAAGGGTTGAAATTTAATCACATGTAAGTCTAAAAAAAGTTCACTGTTCTAATTGTGAACAGTTATGAGCTGATTAATTTTTTAGAATACACTTACAGAAACACTAATTCTTGAACTGAATATTTATTATCTGATAAATCTTAAATGTGGAGACAACAGTAACATTTTATTTGAAACCTGAGATATAGAAAAATATATTGTCTTAATGACCTTTAAAAAAAGTACATTATTAAAAATTTTTTATGAATTGCAAGACTCAAGCCATTTATTTTGCAGTGGGAATTGTCAATTGTTGTTCATAGGGAATCAGATGTAATAGTTTACAAACTTATTGTTATAAATTATGAAATTCTAATAAAAATCAATTTAATGTACATCTTCCAAAGGTGATTAGTCATGCAGAACTAGCATATCAAACTCAATTACTTTCTTCACTTTGTCTTCACGAGTCAATTTTACATTTAATGAAAGTAGGAAAAATTAGGCTCTCCAGAAATTTTGTAAACTGTTTCTTAGCTATTTCTCTGATCAAAATGAGTATTACCACTTCTCCACAATCAGAAGAAGTATTTGGAATCTATAATTCTTTTCTAATCCCTGTTATAAAAATCATTAATATCTTTTGCAAATAGTTTCACAACAATCTTAATCAGTTACTGGAATGCTTACATCTCATGCATATAAATCAACGTTCAAGTTAAGATTGAAGCTGTTTTTTATTTATTTATTTATTTATTTATTTTGTCCCTAATGATAAGCTTGTTTGCAAAGCAATGAGGTTGATCATTCATTACCCAATAATACGTGATGTAGAATGCCAGCCACAATAATGTCTTGTATCTTTTCTATTCCTCTCTTGGAAAATATTTGCAACATGCATATTTATGATATTTATTTTTAATCTGCCTCTTAATTTTCATTTTTTTAAATCCTGTTGCATAGTTACCTTGAAACTTTTTATTTACATTTTTTACAAAACATGAATCACTACACAAATATAATTTTGTTTTGAATCATCTATTCCTTTTGTAGTGAAGATTAAAAAAGTCAGAACTACTGTGCCAAAATAGTTTTTGGTATTTTTGTAGTACAATTCTATAAATGCATGTGTAATTAGAATAATTCTTGTTTTGGAAGGAAATTTATTAATGTTTTTTAATATTTTATTGGTATTATTATCAGTATTATTAAACTGATCTGAAAGAGTCATAATTAATATTGTAAAAAGTGTTTGATGAACCCAAAGAATGTACAGTAGCACTCTAGAAATATTAAGTCTAGTCCAGACACAGGCACAAGTAATTAAAGGTGTTTAAAAATGTTAACATGAGTGTAAAAATATCAAAGAACAGTCACTGTATCATCACTTTTTGTGAAAGATGGAGCAGATATGGAACAGAAATTAATGACTTTTGTGCTAATTTTCTAATCAAAAGAGTAACCTCTATATTGAGGATTTTCAAGGATGTGCTTTGATTCTTCAAAGTGTTTTGATCCAAGACAACCCTCCAATAAGAAAAACTAAAATTCTTAAAACATTTTGTTAAAAATGTTTTTTGTAAAAGTGGAAGTCATTTTTAAAACTTTTTTTGGCTAAAATTATCCAAATTTTTCAAAATAAATTGTAGTTTAATTTACAAAATCCCACTCTTTCTAAATATAAGAGAATGAAGAATGATACTCCCATGTAAAGTGGCTGTATATTTTCAAAGATCACAGAATTTACTGAAAAATGGAGTGATATCACATTTTTTTTGTTTTATTGTTAAAATAGGTGTTTTTAGATGTGATGATATCAATACAGCTGAAAAGGCTCTGTAACAATAAAAAATGGGAGCAAAAGGGAATATTTCTAGATGATATCAATTCAAAAAATTCAATTAGTTTGAATTTATTTTTTACATTTATTTTAACATTCAATTAAGAAATGTATAACTTATTCTAGCTGACACCAAGCACATACCAAAGAAAATACAATGTACATAATTTTTATAAACTGTATTTTTTTGTGTTCATAGTCTAACAGAGAAGTAGTTCCATATCTGTCTTCAATTTGTTTGGAAGCATATGAGTACATTTGGATGATTTGTGGCTTCATTTTTAGAGTGGAACATTCTTGGACATTGTTTCATAAGGATTACAAATGAAATAAAAGTTTGAACTTCTTTTTCAGTAATTTTTTTGGAATTTTTCTTTACTTTAGCAAGTGAAATGTCTTCACTGCTGTTCAGATTTCTACCTGTTTATGGTAGCTTCATAATTCTGGTCTACTTTGTTTGAATTTCAATTTATTTATCAATACAAAGCAGTTACTATTACACATTCTGAATTATTTCAATGTCAAAATTCTACAGTAGTGTTCAGAACTTTTGATTTTCATTACATTCCAGAAGAAAATGCCTGGAGCATTTAAATAAGATATTTTTTGTTGCACAACAACGTTTGAGCAAACTGCTGGTCAGTTTTCTTGAACTCTTTGGTAATGATAAAGTGCATTGCATGACAAGCCTCAGGACTTCCTTATGAATTCTGATGTTTTCAGAACACTGAATGAATTCTATATTAATAATGTGTATGTATGGCAATTATGAATTAAGATGGTGCATTGAAAGAATGTAGATAATATCGAGTACTTCATTGTAATTTGAGAAATATTGTTTTATATTCTTGTCATAATTTAGAAACACTAGTTTATAAGACATTTTGTATGCATTCAATGAGTTAATAAAATATTGTAATCATGATTATGATTAGGAAATTATGAATATCTGCTTGTTTTATCTTTGTTACTGTGCACTAATCAATGCTAAATTAACCTTCATAGGGGTCCCTACACTCCATTATTCAATCCGAATTTTTATTTTAGAATGTAGAAAAATGTAAATTTGACTTCCTGCTTAGAAAATTATGCCCAACAAGTTGCTTTTATTAAAAAACAAAAGCAAGTAAGTAAATTAGATTTAATTTAATACACTTAATTTAAAAGAGTTTAGTTTAAATAATAGTTCGTACATTTGTCTGGCTTCTCATTTATTTATTTTCACATTTAGCGCGCACTTTAATACGCATTTGCGACATGGATACTGTTCGCTCTACACTTTCTACTCTGAAAATTAACGTTCTATAAGTTTTCACGCACGTGAACAATGGACTAGAACGGCGATTGTCAACTGGATGAGAAATGACGTCAGAGCAGCCTTGCTTCCCCTCGATGGACAGGCGCTCGGAGAAGCAGTGTGAGCAAAGGGGGGAGGGAGGGGCAGACGGCGGACGCCGGTTCCGAAAACCTTAGCAATGGGCCTGTGCCGATGTTTCAGGCAACAAGAGTGGTAAAGCATGTCCACACGTTAATTTTCTTTCTGTCAGGGAAGAAAAGTTGAAAACTGGAACAATGGCGAAGTGTGTAGTGTGTTCGAAAGAACTGCAGTATGTTAAAAGGTCCAACATACTGACAGATGCATTACGTAGCTTTGCGACCCAGATAAATCTGCGAGACAAAAGAAATTCTGAGAATTGACATAGTCCGCAATCATGGGATGAGTAAAGGAATTTGCTTATTAAATGTCATGGAAAAGATACTGAAAATCGCGAGGATTTACATCATTCTCAAACAAAACTGTACATCAAAAATAATCAAGCCTGGTGTCCAAATTCTCCCACGTGACATCTACAAGGCATCTTCTTGTTAACAATTATTATTTCAAAACGAACTAATTCGTTATATTATTTACCATTGTCCCAAAATGTTAAAACTGTATTTTCCAAAAATGTTATCTAATGGAAGAATGGAAGTGGAATTACAGTACTGGTTATCAGAGGCGGGATTCAGGGGGGGGGGAGGGGCACAACCTTCCCCCTCAATGTTGGGACAATTAAAAAAAAATATATTTAGACATTTCATTTCGCGGATCTTCAAATTTATATTATAAAAGATTTTTTCCGTATTTTGAGAAAAAATCCCTATGTAGTATTTGAGTAACTGCGTGTGTGCGTTGTCAGTGGATCCGTCACTCACGGTTAGACCGTTTCCCGTGCAGCAATCGAAACGAATGAAGTGTCATTCGATGCGTTTCGAACTTCTTGTGGGGAACTGATAATTTGTTTTCGAATCCGGCCAAAAGTTTCTATGAAATTTCCAAAAACATGTTTTAGCGCTGTCATCTTAGTGAGTATGCCATGAATTAAACCAACGCCACTAAAATATATCTATGTAGGTTACGTTGAATGCGATAAGTGAATTGCCGCAGGGTAATCTCATTTAATTTGTATCCGTATAAACGTATTTTTAAAAGTTCATTTGCAAAAACCTACGAACAGTATTGCCTTAGAACTTATTAAATTTGAAGAACGTCAGGTAAATACAGAGAAAACCACTCTGTGAGTAAGGCTATAGAAGCACATTTACGTTCCACTTCTCACATTTACATTCTTAAGTGTGCAAATTACGATTTTAAAATGAAAGTGAGTAACAACTTACTCTTATTAAAACGTAAATAACACCTTATTCACATAAACATAGAAAACGGAGGCAGTTTGAATTTTTATATAGATTCGCCTACAAAACGATAAATAGAGCAATTGCAGTAGTAGAAGTGAACACAGTTAGACGGACTTTGAGGAGTATTAATCTCTTCAAAAATTATGGAACAAAAATATGGAAGTGTTAAGCAAATCCGGAGAATAATAAAATGCAGTTGTAGAAGATTTTGCGACAGAGTTTTCGGAACTAATTGAAAATGATCTTGTCAGAAAATAACGCTGAAGAGGAGCTTGCAGATTTTTATGTGCATGTTTGTGCATATTAGCAAAAAAAGTAAAATAGTAGGCGTACTAAATTCTAACCATTCAACATCGTTCGTGCCTGCAAGTACTTTATGGCATTTATAATTTTAAAATTGCGCAACCTGTGCCAAACGTTATTACAAAGGCGTAGTCTGACAGACTACTTTGGGTAAGAATTAAGAAAAACTCATTTGTACTATTAACACTAAATTTAATGAATTGAACATGTATTATACGGAGTTACAAAATGCTTTTTAAAGGTGAAATAATGAAAAATAATCATGATATTTTAAACGCCAGTAATAAAATTAAAGCAATGTGGAATATTGTAAAAAATACGACCACATCATCTCGTTACTTAATAGAGAATGTTGTTTTAAAGGATAATGAAGGAGAAGCCAGTAGACCGGAAGAAGTGGCTAACCCCTTCAACCAACACTTTTCTAGAACTGCGGCTGAACTCTCGGACTAAAACTGTCAAATTCAACATCATTACCTTCCAAAAAAATTTTCGACAATTTTTTTTTCGAAACGTCTAACGAAATCTTAAGAATAGTCAGTAAACTAAAAAATAAATATTCATCTGGTTTAGATGAATTTCCGGATTGTTTATCGAAAACTTGTGTACCTGCCTTTATTCACCCGTTAACTCACATTTTCAATGCTTCTTAATGTACAGGAATATTTCCAGATATTTTCAAAACAGCAAAAATTAAGCATCTATTTAAAAAAAGGGAGCAAAAATGAAATTCAAAATTACCGACCAATTTCTCTTTTGTCAGGCTTCTCTAAAATATTAGAGAGTTTTTTCTATATGCAAATGGAAACTTTTCTTAGGAAAAACCAAGCGTTTTCGTCTCACAACACCGGTTTAGAAAATCAAAATCTAAGGAAACTGTCATTTTTTCTTTTCCTAAAGATGTTGCTTCGTCAATGGACCAAAATGAAGCCCCCATTGGAATATTTTTAGATCTTTCGAAAGCTTTTGACATAACATCTTGCTATCATAATTACCTTCTTATGGAATTCGTGGTATCGCCCTAGATTGGATAACTTCATACCTTAAACATTGTTCTCAAAGAGTAGAAATACCGTACTGGTACGAAAGGACATTATTTACTTATCTTTCCAATTCTTTGCCAATTGAATATGGGGTTCCGCAAGGCTCGATCTTAGGTCCTATCCTCTTTCTGTTATACGTAAATGATATTCTGTCGTCTATTAAAAACGGATGAACGGTTCTGTTTGCCGAGGACACGAATGTTCTTTGCAAAAAAGAAACAATAAATAGAACAATTATAGAAGTTTCAAATTGGTTTTTTAACAACAAATTAATAGTTAACGAAGGAAAAACAGTTTCAATGCATTTTTTCCTTTCAAATCAGCAATCGCATGCTCCATTGAAAATGAATAATATGCAATTAGGTGATGTTCAGGTAACAAAATTTCTAGGTCTGTCAATTCCGTCAAACCTCAAATGGAATGTACATATAACAAAATTAAACACTAAATTAAGTTAATTATATGACGCATTCAGAATTCTATCAAATTCTGTCAGCCTTCATGCATCCCGTTGCGTGTATTTTGCAAATGTACATTCCCGACTGGGATATGGTATAAAATTCTGGGGAAACTCATCATGTAGTACTCAAACCTTTAGATTGCAAAAGAAAATTATTCCAATAATGAAAAAATGCCATCCTCGGTACTCTTGCAAGCCTCTCTTCAATAAGCTTGGAATCTTACCACTGCCTTGCCTATATATTTGTACGAACGAATCGTTATGAATCTGTAATATTTGTCAATAGTAACTTAACAGTGGGGAAATATTTTCATTCAATACTGTTATTTATAATTACAACACACGTCGTAAAAATCACGTTCATCAAGTGTCAGCATCAAGAGCTCACAATCAGAAATGCACATACAATACATGAATTTTACTTTATAATGCAGTGCCAGATGACATTAAACAATTAAAGTCGGTTCACAAATTTAAATCAAAAGTAAAATATTTTCTAGCTGCACAGTTGCATAATTGTTTCTATACAATTAGAGACTATACTGATTATCAAAAAGAAAAATAATGTTTATTTTAACAAAACA